GCGTGACCCAACATTCCGGGGCCGACCACACTTAGGCCGAACACGCTCAAGCCGAGCACTCTCCCCACGACGCCCTAAGTTGGTACCCTTAAGATGAAATTAATACAATAAGAATTAAGAAATTAAATATTAAATCCCATTTTATCAAAGGTTATTTACATATGAAAAATTTAAATTTACACAATTATTCTTGAAGAGTCTACATGATGATGGTTGATTAAGGATGATATTTATCAAGGTGAGATGTATAGAGGAGAGAAGAATATTGATTGAAATACCTCATAATTGAGCTCTTATTTGATCTTCCAACTTGAGGCTTCTTAGCTGCTTTTTGGCTACCTACCACACTACAATTTGCCTCACAAGATCTCAAGAAATACAAAAATAAGAGAGAAGAGAAGGGATTTTGAGCTATCTAGAATTTTGAAGCAATTTTTCTGGCCTTGGGAGCAATGCTTGAGTCTACTATTTATAGACGTCAGACTTGACCAGAGTGGCCCGTTTCGGATTTAGAATGGCCCTTTCTAGGTCTTTTAGTTATGAGTTAAATTTGAACATGGAACGACCCACTCTGATGACAAAATAGCCCATTCCAGATTTGAACGTATGTCATAACAAACTACACTGGAATGACCCGTTTTGGCCCGTTCTCAACTAGGGTTTTTGGGTTTTTTTAGTAGTTTGGAACGGCCACCCGTTCTAGGCTACTAAACCAAGTTTTCTTTGGCTTCAAACTCCCTTGGTGTCATATGGTGTCATCTTCATGCTTTGGGAGCTCCTTCTTTTTAGAGTAGAAGTTAATTTCATTATTTTACGGGTCTGGACAAAATTGGTGTTTGTTATTATAATGTATACCAGACATGTTAATAAATTATTTTTTATTCGACTCTTGTAATTATTATATTCTACTCTTATATTATATTCTATTACCAAACTAGTTCTAAACCTCAAATAAAATGAATCAGAGAGTATTTAAATTTTCATAATGTTTTTTTGTATGTGAATCTTTCTACAGCGTGCACATGATGACAAATTCCAAAGTCAATATGATTCCTGCAACTATAACAAGCTAATATATATATATATATATATATATAGCGGAACTAATCTATCAGCTACTTGAGCCATTCAGAAAAATGGAATTACATTGGGTTTGGATGAGCGTTGCTACTTTGTTGGCTTCTTACGTTTTGGTAAACAAATTTGTGAGGAGGTTGAATGGGTGGTATTATGATCTGAAAGTAGGAAACAAAAAAACCCTATTGCCCCCTGGTGATATGGGATGGCCTCTTATTGGCAATATAATACCCTTCATCAAAGACTTATCCTCAGGCCAACTTGATTCATTCATCAACAAATTAGTGTCCAAGTTTGAAATCTTTCCTTTTCTGTGTTTTTTTCCCTTCTTATTATCATATTCATCACCGTCATTATTATAACAAAAATGTTAACCATTCTCTATAATACTCCTTTTCTTATATTCTATGGTATTTGTAATTGGTTACAAATCCCAAATCACAAATTTTAGTAGTTCGTATCATTAAATCAAAAACTCAACATGAGATGCGATATGAACAAAATTTGTGATATTTTTTTAATGAATTTTGATAGATAATGAGTATGGAGAAAACAAAGTTAGAGAAAGTATCACCAGCATTAATTCTTACACTTCCATGCATATATAACTCATTGAGAGCTAGAAGTGGTTGATCAAATAATACTAGCGTTAATGGTGAAGTTAGGGGGCCAGACGTTGGTTGATAATAATCACTGGGAGCCAAAAGTGGTTGAGTAAAGAATACTAGCGTCTACGAGTGAAGTTGATGAACCAGGAGTGGTTGAGAATACTCGGGACCAGAAGTGGTCGTGACCTGGGTGATCTATAATACTCACTGCGAGCTTGAAGAGACTGAACAAATAATACTTTTACTTCATTGAACATTTATTGGAATCCTTCATTTGAAGGAAACTGGACGTAGCTTAGTTTGAGTGAATCAGTATAAAAATACTTGCATTATGCCTTAATGTTTCAGACGCAGTTTATTTGGTTGATCTATTATATTGAAAATTTCGTCTAATACGTATAATCTACTAAAACTATCTTCATATGAAAACCACACTTATTCAACTTGTTATCCTAAAGAACGGTTTTCGTTTAAGAAGTATTTTTCTTAAGAAGACGATGAAATTTCCAGATGCAAAAATATATTGCTGAATCAGTCCTAGGGAGTTCTAGTTCGCATTTACTAATATTATTTTACTGGACGAAAAAAGCCTTCTTGCGAAAATGTTTTTAAATTCCTTTGTTCACACACACACATATTCAACCCCTCATTCTATGTGTTTTTCATGCAACTTCAATTGGTATCAGAGCTTGACCCCTTGGGTTGAGCATCTAACAATGTAGGGGTAGAATATGATCCATGAAGAACGAAGGAAAAATGGGAAGCCAAAAAGCAAAAATGATGAACAACTGGTACATGTAAAATAGGTATCATTTTATCTACTAAAATGAAGCATGTTCTATATGATATAAGAGTAGATCAAATATGATACACTAGAATATTCATATGCATTTACCGTCCAGTATAGTCAGAAACACAGTAGGAAAACAAACGTAGTAAACCACTACGTCTGAATATCCCTCAGAATACTGTAAGAAATGATAGCATCTGAAACTCTTCGTCTGATGAAGTGTGTAAACTACTTCTCATACTTTTGAAAATTTAGTCTGTCATATTCCTATTGAATAATCCTCATTAATAAACTCAAAAGAGTCTGAGACAAACATTCTCTGCATTTAAAGGAATAAAACAATTAAATTATTAAAAGACAAAACCGTCATTTGGGGTTTTTATTTGAAAGGACATATCCTGTATCCTAAGTTTAATGTGAGCTGTACAACACACTGCACAAGAAAAGCAAAAGAGTGCCACGTCATACAAACAATAATAGAAAATCAAAATGGAAAACATTGTTAAAACCCTACATCTTCCTCGCATTCATTAACGTACCATCTACGCTTCATAATTTTGAAACATTGAACTCTCAAGCTCTCTCTCTCGAACCCTAACTCTCTTCTCTCAAATCTTTCCTACTCACTAAAATGGCCGTACAAGCTGGAAAAGTTGCACCTGTCATAATTCCTGATGAAATGCGTGAAGCCACCACCTGCACTCATACCTTCTCTGCGGAGGAAAAGCCAATCATATACTTGGAGCATCACTTCAACATCAGAGAGATGAACGAATGGGGAATACCCATTTTTGAGAATCTAGCTGATTGTGGGATTCTTGGGTACTTCAACATTGAGGAAGTTGTATACCCTGGCTTGATAAAAATGTTCTACGAGTCCTTGAGGGCCTCTCAAGGATTCTTCGAAGGAACTATGCTCGGAGTGAAGGTCAGAATCTGTCCTGCCTCCATCGCACAAGCCATTGGATGTGAAAGAACAAGCCTTTTCTACCACAAGGAGTGGATGTCTGACGCTGGTGGTCTAACCAACGGCACCAAGACCATTCACAAGGAGGGTGAAGAAGGACCCATAGTCTACAACAAACTTGACGACAAGGCTAAAATCTTTTAGCAGATTCTAAACAAATCAATCCTTCATAAGGTAGGCGCTAAGGACAGCATCTCAGACATGCACAAATTCTGCTTGTTCCAAATGATGTCTAGAGGAGCCTTTAACTTACCACAAATACTCTATCAATAGTGATGGGCTCCTTCTTTCCATGGTGTGTTCTTTGGCTTCCAAGGAGGAGCTCCCTCTTTCTCCACGAACTAGGAAGAAGGATGATGGCTGGATGTTCCTCAAGGGTGGTGGAAAAACAATATTGAAGATGTGGAGGTCAAGGTGGGCGAAAATGGAGAAGAGAAGGTGGAAGGTGTCGCCTACACATCTCAGGAGTACAAACAATCATGCTTGGTTTTCCAAACAAATGTGTCTTGTAGATACCACTTCGTCCATATCTAAATCATACATAACAAAGTCAAATGAGACTAACCAATTATATATGCATGGAAGTGTAAGAATTAATGCTGGTGATACTTTCTCTAACTTTGTTTTCTCCATACTCATTATCTATCAAAATTCATTAAAAAAATATCACAAATTTTGTTCATATCGCATCTCATGTTGAGTTTTTGATTTAATGATACGAACTACTAAAATTTGTGATTTGGGATTTGTAACCAATTACAAATACCATAGAATATAAGAAAAGGAGTATTATAGAGAATGGTTAACATTTTTGTTATAATAATGACGGTGATGAATATGATAATAAGAAGGGAAAAAAACACAGAAAAGGAAAGATTTCAAACTTGGACACTAATTTGTTGATGAATGAATCAAGTTGGCCTGAGGATAAGTCTTTGATGAAGGGTATTATATTGCCAATAAGAGGCCATCCCATATCACCAGGGGGCAATAGGGTTTTTTTGTTTCCTACTTTCAGATCATAATACCACCCATTCAACCTCCTCACAAATTTGTTTACCAAAACGTAAGAAGCCAACAAAGTAGCAACGCTCATCCAAACCCAATGTAATTCCATTTTTCTGAATGGCTCAAGTAGCTGATAGATTAGTTCCGCTATATATATATATATATATATATATTAGCTTGTTATAGTTGCAGGAATCATATTGACTTTGGAATTTGTCATCCCTACAAAATGAGTAAACAAGTTAACCTCACCAATGTGTTTCCCTCAAGATTTAAGGTACCTCAATCTCCCAAAAGTTGCAGCCCCTTTGATGTGGTTCCAATGTATCTCAATTATCAACTTCTTTCCAAGTGTTATGACTTGAAAATGAATATTTTCAGGTTATATCATACCGAAGGGATGGAAAGTTCTAGTTTGGTCAAGAGCTATTCATATGAATCCTGAATATTACCCAAATCCAAAAGAATTTAATCCATCAAGATGGGATGTAAGTTTGATATATATTGTATAAAACCTACTTATTTTGGAATATTTTGGATCATTTATACAAACATCTTTTGCGTGTGCATGTCACTGAAACTTATATGTCATTCACTCATTATTTTCAGGTTATATCATACCGAAGGGATGGAAAGTTCTAGTTTGGTCAAGAGCTATTCATATGAATCCTGAATATTACCCAAATCCAAAAGAATTTAATCCATCAAGATGGGATGTAAGTTTGATATATATTGTATAAAACCTACTTATTTTGGAATATTTTGGATCATTTATACAAACATCTTTTGCGTGTGCATGTCACTGCATGCAGGATTACAATGCTAAAGCGGGAACCTTCCTTCCCTTTGGAGCAGGAAGCAGGCTTTGTCCTGGAAAAGACATATCCAATCTCCAAACTTCTGTATTTCTACATTATTTTCTCCTTAATTACAGGTTAGTATGTGTCATTTTTTCTTTCCTTAACTTAAACCACATTAATCCTACTTTATAGTAATCAGTCATATACTATGAATTTATAACAAGTTTTGTTCCTAGTTTTTACCAAAAAATTTTCCAAAAATGACTAAGGAGCTTAACATCCCTATCGGACACAATAGTCTTGGGTAACCC